ATGTTAAAATATTTTTTTATCCTTATCATTAACCCTTAGATGCATTTATGTATTTCTACAGCATGAATGTAGAAACACGTGATCCAAGATTTGTTCAACAAGAAAAAGTAATAAACTGTTCTCAGAATTCAAGCTTTACATGGAACAGCGGTAAATCACACATAAATGCTTGGCATTCAATTTGTCTGGTTTACATGTGTATAGGTGCGGTAGTGTTAACCACATGCCGTCTTTAATACAGATGCAGGACACGTGCTCTGGCTGCGCACTAGTAAGAAGTAAGATGAGGTCTGGCTGACTTGCATTAGAAACCTAAGTTCTGAAAACCTGATTGAAGTTTCAGCCACTCTGCCCCTCTCACACCTTCCTGTGTCCGTGTCTTTACAAAATGGTATCCCCTAATGAATTGCTTTGGACCCTCTTTTAGGTCTCTTTTGTCCTGGCTCCCTGCTCCTATTCTACTCCGTTGCTAAACCTTGAACTCCACCCCTTCTCATGTTCTGTTGCTTCTTTGGAAAACTGTGAGGTTGCCGTGAGAGATATCGGTATTATTTGTTGCATGGCGTGCCAAAGAACACAAGACATGACAACACACACAGTATATCCATGCAACTGTGTGTGTTGATAGTGCGGAGGGGTTGCTGTGACTGACGCAAAAAAAATCAAAGACACAGCGGAGGAGAGGAGGGATGGCACTGGCGACGCACAGTGGAAAATGATAACATCTACAGGCCAACACCAAGGGGCATAAAGCTGCATCCTAATAGTACCCACTGATAAGATGATGAATTGATGGAGGCCCTCCATACTCTCAAAGTCCAGCATAGGAAAACAACTCCAGACTCCTTTGGCAAACACGGATCCATTAAACACAGCAGTGTTGTTGGAGAAAACCATGGTTGCCTGGAGAGGGAACATTGTTGTGTCCACACATCCCCAATTTTTCCTCAGTATTTCATACAATTTAAGAATTTCTTGCTTTGAAGATCAAATTTATTTCTTGAAAAATTCTTAATTTCAACATCAGCTGGCCTCTCTGGCTTAAGGACATCTGCATCTTAAACTGAAATAAATATTTTGTGCAGGGCCAGCACAGTTACAACCTGGATTTTAAGTTGAGTGTGCATGGAAAGAGACCCAAGGGTATTTAACTTTTTAGAGGGATACTATGTCTGTTTTAATTCTTGGCGCGAGTAAAACATCTTTAAAAGAAAAGGCCCCACAGTAAACAACGTGGCTTTTTATGCAACTTTACAGAGGCTTATGCAAGGTTTCAGCAGAGTTCCTTGCCAAGAGATATTTTGCAAAAATAACAAACAGGTCAGGAAGCGAGCATTGCTGTGGTGTTGCATATCAGTTGGTACAAGACAACAGCTACTTGACCTAGACATCAGTCATCTGTAATGGACACGTTTGAGCAGTTGTCATATTTAGTTTAAATCTCAATCTGTCCATTGCAATGGAGCAGTCTGGCCTCTGTTATGACCCGGCTTGTGTTTGGCTGGAGGTTAATTCCATCATGTCTTTAAGCCTGGAAAGACTGAAGCTGAGGCCTTTACAGGATAAACAATCTTAATAGCTCTTTCTAACAAAACAGGCCATCGAAGCTATTTTGCCTTATTTTCAAAGTCTGTCAGTCATTAAAAAATCTGGAAGAGGTCAATAGGAGGAGAGACCAAGGTAACTTTTGGTTCCAAATAAAATTAATGGCTCTCTCTGGCTGCACGGGGCAATTCAAAATCCAAGAAAACGTTCTCCAGCTTGCTTCTGGATCTCCGTAGGTGGGGTGTTGAAGTAATCCTGTTGAGTTTTCCAGCTGCACAAACAAAGCTGACTGGATAACAAAGGCTTCCAAGAAAGAAGAAGAATGTGGAGGAGGTCTCCAAAGCCACAACATCTTCACGTGTACCTGCTCCAAGATTACTCTAGAGTGAGCGCTGAGAGTGACCAGAAATCCCAAAACCACGACATGACCACACTGATTAACCCTGCCACTAGAACAGACAGTATGATGTCGTTCCCGTCCAGTTCATAAATCACACTTGTATAACCTAAAGAGAGGCTGGAATGGGCTGCCAATCCCATCCAAAGCCACAGTAGAAACCTTGTATTCAATCTACTTGTCATTGTCTTTGAAAGATGTGTGATGTTCCTGTCTGTGGAGCAATGTTGCACAATGAAAAAGGCCAGTCAGAGCTCTAAAAAACCATTTGCAGTATTATTTCCAACTGGCAGCCTTTTGGAACAAGAGCTGGTCCAATCTTAAAATGTGACGAAAGAAGAACAGCCATATCCCCACCCCACAAAGTGTCAGGAAATCCTGGCATGCTGCTACAGGCATCAGCGGCTCATGGGGGGTCTTATAGTTTGTCTAAGTCCCTCAAGTGGAACAGGAATGTTACAGGAGTATTTAAAGCTAATTGATTATTTCATTGGTTAACACACCTTCCTAAAATAGCCACAGCCACTTTTTTCTTCACCAAATATCAGCTTATGTACATGTTTATATAATAGGAACAGCACTGACAGCATGTTCTTGCAACTCAGAAATGTTGTTTTGAAGAGACAGACAGATACAGCAAATAAGTGCATGTGTATTTCTCTACCCGCCAACAAAAAGTAAACAGTTTTTAGTGACATCCTATTATCAGTTTTATGTTTTAAAAAATAGGTAAAAGGCAGAGGACGCCACATTTATTTCTCTGGTCTCAGACACTCCCAGTTCTTGGCTGTGAATCAGAAAGCTCCATGCTGTCAGCTGTGTGTTGTGACTTGCGCTTTGGCAACTTGCGAACAGAAGGCGTTTATTTTGCTCCAGCTGCCACACCCAAGGAAAGTGTTTTTCAGGCAAAGGGGAGTACCAGCTACAACTCTGAGCCTGTAGAACTCAGATGGCTGTTCGCAGAACAATATCAGTATCACAAAGAAAAAGCACAAAAGCAACGTGCAAACACATGAAAGTTATGTATTGACCACTGACTGGTTTCATTTAACCAGATAAAAGCCAGGGTGCCCCTGGCAGGTCCCTCCTATGATCTTTCAGTGTTGTTAGTCCCCAATCTGGCTGAATGAAGCTGTGAGTGCAGACAACAAAAGAAAAGTCAGTCTCCCTAAGGAAAAGCCTTCTCGCTGCTTCCTATAGCGTACCGCTCTCAGGCCCAAGCTGAAACCTGAGCATGCTTCAGGGATCGGCACCACCCACCCTCAAACCATCCCTGCCTTCAACCCCCTAGTGACCTGTTCCATTAAAAAAAAGTCCCGCAAATCCAGTTCCCACCGCTGAATTACCATTAATTTATTTATCCGTCCATGCTCTTATACGTCTATTTATTTATTCAACTCATCTATTTGTCTTCATTTCTCACGCTATCCCTGGCAGTCCCCAATGAGAAGGGTCTGATTACAGCAGTAATCTTGTAGGGGAAAACAGGGCCACTGAGTGAGCTGGGTCAGCTCATGATGTCATTGGCTGCTGGACTGAGCCAGCCTGTGCTCTAACATAAAACATTTTAAAGCTCCTCTATAATAGACCGGTACGACTAATACCATGTGTGCTCCATGACTGTGAATGGCTGCGTGCGCCTGGAGCTGTTGAGTGTCTGGCCAATAAGTTGACGCTGTTCACAGCACCCTGGGTTTACTCTCGCTTAGGCCAAGGATGGTGTGTGAAGAAGACTGGCAGTGGTCTAGCCTGGTGGAGTGGCGGGTGTTGTTCTGGTGCAATGAGCCATGTGGTAACATGGGGCGAATACAGACGGCTGGCCGACTGTATCATGCCCTGTCTCCAGCCGGTCCAAGGCATGTTGGGAGAAGCACCTGAGTCTATAAGTGGGCTGTGCACTCCACAAACAAACCAAGCTGCTGACAGGGCCTTCAACACTTGATAGTCCTCTTCTAATGCTGCTAAGCGTGCTTCCTCTTTCCCTGTTGCCCCTGATGTTATCACAGTAAGATGCTAGTCTAAATTCAATAGTGCTTGTAACATCAGTGCGCTTTAGAGAGTTGAGTTTCTCGCCCTGTAACCACAAGCTTTTGCAGTTTCAGACAGCCTGCTAATGAGCACAACACTGTGCAGACTTAACCAGACCAACCACAGGATAGGGGATGATGGATTGGGGCTTTTATCTGGGCAATAAACATTAGTTCCTCCACCTTATCATCTTATCTCATGGTGATTTTAGGATTCTCTCACAACAGGAGGCCTCATGACTGGACTGCTGACACCTATGTATCCCTCTCTGCAGTCTTTGTACACAAGGAAACAGCATGCTGTTTGGTCAGTACAGCCTTAGAATTGTGATAAGGAAATGTAATTACAAGGCCTACAAAAGACAGCACCGACTGAAAGTCCAAAATGACTCCAAATGTCATTCCAATATACAATGCAATGCACTTGTCTAAAATACAAATGTGGCCTATGTTATTTATATTTTGCTCATTCAAAATCTCTGACAACAATATAGCCCACTGTAGCTTGTTAAAACTTCCTCT